TCTGCTGTGCTGGCCATGGATTCTAATAACATAGTGTCTTGTTTAGGTAACTTTCTTTCTTTGCTTTTTTGTGTTGTTCATGTGTCTTCCCTTCTAGTACTGTGGATCTGAGTTGTTACAGTCTTTACCCTGTAGGCTGACAGTGTCCCTGCAGGGTTCCAATACCTCTCCTTTAAGGGGGAGAACAATATTAACAGATCCCAATACAAACAATATACAGTCTTAAACCAAATAGCTGCTATTAAGTTTATGCTTATGGTTTTGTCACAATACACAGAAATGTTGAGTTCAATTATTATCTATAATATAGACAGTAGGTTTGCAAGGGACTGTAGGTACCTTGATATTGCAAAAGGGTCTACAGTTTCTGGTGGTGGACAAAGAGAGAACCAGGGGTGAGGTGTAGGATGAGATGCTGAGGAGGTAAGAGGGGAGGATATAGAGTTATTAGACCTTAGGAAGCTTGAAGGAGGAATCTAAAGAAGTGGCTAGTAGCAGGAGAAAAGAGAGAAAGTGCTTTTGGGGAGACAAATAAGTGAGAAGACAATGGAGAGAGTACAAAAAAAAAACCATAAAAATTAAGAAAAATTCAAAAATGTAAAAAATAGGAGATAAAAAAATATACGGCACAACTGTAATACACTATTCAGTCATCCCAGTCTTCAGTAGCCTAATTCATGAAAAGTACTTGACTTCACAAATGTGGGGGATGTGAGGGTAGGAGAAGAGAGAGAAAGAAAAGAAAAAAAGGAGAGAAAAGAAAGGAAATCTTGAAGGAAGATACAAAGATTGTTTTTGTTGGAGTTCAGTATCTTTCCTCTTTCCCATCTCATCCAATAGGTGGGGTTGTCTGTTGTTTGCTGTATCTCCACCCTCAGGATGTGAAGGTTATTAGGGTGGGAGGGTTGGTCTTAGGGGTGAAGCTTCTGGAGGTGTGGTATAGCACTTGCCGGTCCCCAATGGGAGACTGCACCCCAAGGATCTCCTTGAGGCCTCTGTCACTGGAGGTCTTGGCTGTGCTCTGGGGGCTGCACACTGGTGGTGGAGAGCTGTTTTGTATCAGGCAGTTCAGGGCCAGGCTTTGCGAGCCACAGACTGGCTGCACAGCCACAAGCTCTGTGCTGGGTTGGTGGCTGTGCGGGAGATGGGGGGTTGGGGACTGTAGGTACCTTGATATTGCTTCTGGGTCCCAGCAGGTGTCCCAAGCTGGGAGTTGCCCCAACTGAAGATGGGGACTAAGGTGTCCCAAGAGGGAGGTGGCTGCTTTCAGAGATGGGATGTCGGTCGGGTTGGGCTGGATGGTGACATTAGGCAGCATGTTTAGAGATGCAGCTCTGTGGCGTGCAGTGTTGGGGCTGGCGGCTGTCTCCAGACCCAGTCTGTGTCCCCAGGTGCAGGCTACTGTGTGTAGGGAACTATGGCAATGGTTTCAGTGCCCCAAGATGGAGACGACCAGGGGACCCCCATGTTGGTAGATGGGGGTCCACACAGGAGTGGCAGCTGGAGGTCTGCATGCGTGCCGATGCCAGTGGTCCTGCTCGGGCACAGCGGCCGGTGATGCTGTGTGGGCAAGTGGCTGGGAGTCCTGTGCTGTTGCTGAGGCTTGGAGACCTGCGCTGAGCAGCAGCCAGGATCCCTGCCTGGGAGCAGCTGTCGGGGGTCCTCTAATAACTTGCAGAGAAACAGTATTCCCACTTCTAGAGTCCCAGGTCACGGAGCCACACAGAATGCAGCCTCCCTCTAGCCTGCCATCTTGGATCCCCCCTAAACCACATTTATGTAGGGCATAAATTCTAAGGATATAAGAGAACACACACTTTCAATAATTACAAATCTCAATCTCCTGGGGTTGGGGTGGGGAACACTTTCATTTGAACCATTTGTGGGAAGGACTAATTATGTCTAGTTACTTAAGTGTTTACATTCCTGCAAGATCATTTTGGAAATCATCACTAAAATAAGTAGGTTGAATAATTTGTTTGCATACTAATACGCCTTTTAAAAAACAGCACTCTAAAAAAGGCATGTGATCCGTTTTTTAATGTAGTACAAATTCAGAAAATAGTTTCTTTTGCATGTCCAGAATAGTATTAATAGGGACAGATTTCATTTGTTATCCATGAATTTAATTATTGAATTTAGTCAATAAATAGAAAGAATACTTTGTTTTCCCCTATAGGCTACATCAGTTTCAATAAAATTAGACTTAGCTGTGCTCTCGCGATGCTTTATAGCCAACAGTTTGTTGGGTCCTTTGTAAGCAGCCTTTATTCAAAATTGTGTGGAGCCGCTTCTGTGCCGAGACAAATATTTAAAATAGTCAAACAATGAAACTTCAGAGCCTGAAGGCAAATATATATATATTCATATTTCCTCCTAAATGTAACCTTAATAAACACAGCTTAAGATTTAACCAAATGCTTTCATCTCCATTGCATCTCAATAAAGCCCCGTGGGTTCTGAATTTGTTCAAAGCCTGACAGTATATGGTGAGGCAGGGTAGGGGGCTCCCATCTAAGATTAAACTTTTATTAAGTCTTATTCTCAGCAGACAGACCTGGGAGAGATTAGAAGACATCTGCACATGGACTACAACCATGAAGACATGGGGAAGCCGCTCTTGGTGTCTAGAATTCATTTTTTATGTGACATTTCACACCTGGAGCACTCCTGACCTGATCCAGAAAGGCTTTTCATAGGACAGGCTTTAAGATTTGCAGAGCCGAGTTGAAGACCGCAGACCCGCACGGAGGATGCAGGCTCCTCTGTAAGTGGCAGCAGCAGATCCTGGAAGCCCTGTGTGCCTGCCTGTCTGTCCTTCTGTGTCTTCTCAGTGAAGTGCACATGCGGAGTCAGAGGAATGGGGGCTAGGGATGTAGCTCAGCGGTAGAGCACTTGTCTGGCTTCCGGAGGCTGAGGCAGGAGGATCCTGAGTTCAAAGTCAGCCTCAGCCACTTAGTGAGGCCCTGAGCAACTCAGCAAGACCTGGTCTCTAAATAAAGTATATATTAAAAAGGGGCAGGGCTGGGGATGTGGCTCAGAGGTTAAGTGCCCTGGGTTCAATCCTTGGAACCAAAAAAAAAAAAAAATAAGCCCTGGCTTCTATCCCCAGTACCACCAAGAAAGAAAGAAAGAAAAAATCCCTCAGGAGAGAGATGAGCCCTGTAAGGTTATAATGGAGACCAGCAGCCCCTTGCCACTCCTTTTCCTGAGTCCTGTTCCCTCCAAAGGCTTCCGTGCCAACCCCTGCTAGTTTCTTTGTCAATCGCTTGTCTCTGTCTCACACCCCGATGCTGGAGCCAAATAAATCACCCTCGCTGTTCAGAGGTTTTTATTTTGTTTTGCTCTTGTTGTTTGAATGACACCCCGTCCTCCTTGAGACATTAGGGCTTTCCATCGGCACCTGTCCCATCTTCCCCTGAAGCCCCTACTGCCACCCGTTTTAGCTTTGAAACAGAAAGTAATGTTTGATTTTTGAAATCCAACAGAGCTCCAGCGTAGAGGGTCCTGGTCACTCGGATCAATAGGCAATCACTTCTGTACGGAAAGTGGAGACCCACTTACACAACTTGCAACTGCATTAACTGTTTTCTGATGGTCTTTTCTTTTCTTCTTGTAAATGTGTTTCTTTAAAAATCAGGGCACCTGTGTGATAAAACAGGCTCTTTCTTGTCACTAGTACAACCTCGAATGCCTCTAGAGGATGCACTGGTGCTGGTGGCTAAAGAATTTAAGAGGCTTTTCACTGAAGAAGCTCTGGAATTTCTCAGAGGGCTGCTGACCTGGAAGATGACTGTGCCTTGGGCATTGGGTGTCTTCCCTTCCTGTTAAGTGACAAAAAGTGTTTGTCTAGGGACCAGTTGAACCTGATCACTGATTACCCTAAGGCCAGGAAGGAACACCAGGAAGGCATTTGTCCCTTTCCTTCTGCGTTTTAAATCCCAGGTAATCCTTTTTTTTTGCAAATTCGTGTATAAAAGAAAACTACATATTTTTATTTAGTGAGAGTTTATGCATTTGTAATATGTTTGCAATCAAAAGTAACTGATTGGAACATTCTATACCATGTTAACATTCAACCTTTATAAACTGATGTGCTTCTTCTAAAGTTAGATTTTCTCTTTCTCCCTCCCCCGCTTCCTTCCTTTCTTTTTCTATACTGGGGATTGAACTCAGGGGAGTACTCTACCACTGACCTAAATCTCTAGTCCTTTTTATTTTTTATTTTGAGACAGGATTTCACTAAGTTGCAAAGGCTGGCCTTGAATTTGTGATCCTCTTGCCTCAGCTTCCCAAGTTACTGGGATTACAGGTATGCACCACCACGCCTGGCTCTAAATTTTCTTTTGAACCAGTTTTTAATAAGTCAGTAGAATGACCTCTGTGTACAGACAGATGTGCAGGAAATCATTCCAGCGTGCTACTAGCTTACTGTCCTAGTTCTAGCTTATTGTTGTTTAATTGAAACATTTGTAAGATTGCTTTTTATTTTTATTTATTTTTTAGGTTTTTTTTTTTTTTTAGGTGGACGCAATATCTTTATTTTATTTTTATGTGGTGCTGAGAATCGAACCCAGTGACTCATGCATGCTAGCCGAGCATGCTACCACTTGAGCCACAACCCCAGCCCCAAGATTGCTTTTCAAATGTGTGGTAAGGATGAAGAAGCAGTTCTTCATCTTGAAGATTTTAAAAGAGCATTCCAGGAACAAACCTAACTCCTAAAAGAAAGTACTTTTGAGATTGCTTGTTTTGAGAGAAGAAGGTGAGACTAAATGATAATCAACTGCTTGTTCCTTTAAGAAAAAAGGAGCAGACTGTGTACCCCACCTAAGATGGGTTGAAGCTTTCAAAGAAATCGTTCCTCTTACAAAATGTAGAACGTGTTTTATTTTTGTACACTTTTGCTCTTTTCCTGGGCGGGGCGGTAGGGGTGGAGGAACCCATAAACACAAGTCTTGCTCTTTTTGATTGTAGAACCCTCTGAGTCAGTAAAGGGAGAAGACCTTTCTGGAATAAGTAAAAGTGAATCTCTTTCTTGGAGAGCCCGAGCAGCCTCTGTGCAGCTCTCTGGCCTCCACTGAGGCTTCTGCTGACCATCATTCTCTTCACTCCTCCTGGCGGTGAGACTCCGGAACCTTCTGCCGCAGCAATCCTGCCTCATTTCCAAGCAGGACCACCCCCTGTGGCCAAGCCGCCTCCACCTCTCCTGACCCCTGCTGAGCGGTCCTTCCTGGGTGGAGCTCCTTGAGGTCCCGTGAAGTCCCTGCAGTTAAGCACCCAGTGGGAAGAAAGCCTCCTTCCACCGTCAGGTCAGTTCTCCCCTCTGGGAGCCAGACAGCACAGCAGCCCCTGGGCTCCCACAAGGGCTCCTCTGAGCCAGCGCGACAGTTTGGAGCAAAGGCAGTGTGTCTTGTCATTGGCTTTATTTTTTCAGTATTGAATCCAGGCCCCAGCACAGTCTAGGCAAGAGCCCCACTCCTGAGCCCCACCACCAGCCCCTTGTCACAGTTTTAATGAATGTTCCAATCTCAGAAGACAGAAGTGACACTGTTTCAGCAGAGCCAGCCCCTGGCATGAGCAAGGATTTATTTATTTATTTATGGCACCAGGGATTGAGCCCAGGGGTGCTTAACCACTGAGCTACCTCCCCAGCCCTGTTTTGTATTTTATTTAGAGACGGGGTCTTATTGAGTTGCTTAGCCCCTCACTGTTGCTGAGGCTGGCTTTGCACTCACGATCCTCCTGCCTCAGCCTCCCAAGCTGCTGGGGTTACAGGTATGTGCCAGGCCCTCCTGAGTTTTATACCTGGGTGACACTTATAGGAACCCTTCTACGCCAGGTCGCCGTCATGATTAGAGACACTTAAACTCAGTTCAGACACTTAAACTCAGATTAGCACTTCCAGAATCCAAAGGTTTTTGAGGCTTTTTTTTTTTTTTTTTTCCTGATGAGTGACATCTGCCTAAAATGAGGTTGAGTTATTGAGGACTTTTCTGTTGTAAGTGACAGGAGCTCAAATTGAGTTGTCTTAAAACAAGAGATTTGATGGCTCACAAAAGTGGAGATTCTAAGAGTGGCTGACTTGAGGCCCACCTGGATCCGATTGCTCAGCTGGGTGTCCAGACATCCACACCTGCCCCCTGGGGGGTTCAGCCGTCAAGCCTGATTTCAGCGCTGAGCCTCACCTGACCGCTCTGTGTGCCCAGGTGCGAGTCTTTCCTGGACCTCATGGTGGAGTTTGTGCTGCCCCCTGAAGGTGCCCAGCACCAGTTTCCTCCCCTGGGTCAACATTCATTCCTCTGAGCTCCAGTCTCCTAACACTTGTTGGCCTCTTACCCCTCAGACCCTCTCCTGCAGCCGGAGTGGGGAAGGCCCGTGAGAGTCTGGTTGTCAACCTGCCATGTTTCAACAAGGAAGTTGCCAATGAAGTCTTGTGCAAAGGTAACCTCTCACCCAGGCTGTAAATAAAATTTAGGTTTGGGGATGTCTTTTTGTTGGCTGCTTTTCAGTGGTACTGGGGCTGGCACTGGGGGCCTGGTACATGCAAAGGCAAGTGTCACTGAGCCACACCCTAGGCCCCCTGGGGATACCTTTGTGCATAAGAGTCTAATATTGCTTTGACCTTTTATGTGAGCAGGGATTATTTTAGCCAAAAAAAAAATTTTTTTTCCCCTATGAGTGCATTTCTACCTTGACTATTATTATAGATAGAAATACAGGGAACGAGGCCTCTTTTTTTGGAAGCTCCATGTGCGTGTCTTTTATCATCAGGGTCGGTCTGTAGGGAAGATCCATCTCCCTACAGTGAACGTTTCTAGGCCTCCCTCCCTTCTTGACTCTCAGGATGAGAAGAGCCTCGTTCCGGTTCCCTGTTCTCACAGCCTGGGCTTCCTCTCTACCAGGTCTCTGGCCCCCCTTTTCTTTGCTGTGCTCAGCCTCTCCCCCAGGACCCCAAGGCCCAGCTCCTGACTCGGGTTGGGTTCCAGAGCTCCCTCAGCGCGGGTGTGTCTGCTTCCTCAGACCCTCTGGGTTCGCCCACAGACCCAGTGTGGCTGCCTTGTTCTTGTAAGGAACATGTGACTCGTGGGGAGGGCTCGGGAGGGAAGCTCTGTCCCCTGATTGGCTTCCCATTTGCCGCTGGCGTACAACAAACCTTCCCAGACCCTCCCAAAGGCTCGCTCCCTGCTTCAGGGCCTTGGCAGGGCTCTGAGGAAGCCCCCTATGCAGGGCTTGCAGGACAGCCTGCCTGTCCAAGAGGGGTGCTCCAGGTGCCGGACAGTGTGGCACACCACCGAGGGCAGTGGGTGGCTGGGTGGGTGGATGTCAGCTTCTCAGGGATGCAGCACTTAGGGATGTCATGAGTCAGCCTTTATGACCTGCTGGGAACCTCGCCGCTTTGGATGTTTAAGAACGTTTTCCAAGTGTCAAAATAGCTTCAAAATAGAACATTTAGAACAAAGCCCACTTATGAGAAGGGGAGGACAGAGGACCAGGACACTGGGACAGGCCACGACTCGACCAGGGCTTTGCCAACTTCTGTTAAAGGTTCAGATGGTAAATATCGTAGATTTTGTAGGCCAAGGAGCGAAAGTCAGGATATTATGTACATACTTACATAACTGTTTAAGACATGGCCATTTAAAAATAGGGGACCACTCTTAGCTGGACACCATCTGACATCAGGCCTGATTTGGTCTCTGCTGTGCTGAGCCCTGGACTAGGCCACGGAGGAAGTATCTGGGTCCAAAGGAGACTCGGTGGAGCTTTTTGGAGCTCAGGCTGAGCCTGGCGAGTGGCAGGTCACTCCTCGCCTAGCCTCTCTCTAAAGGTGAAGAAGGACCACTCCGGGGAGGTCACCTGGAACTGGGTTCCTCCTGTGTCTTCATGCTTCTGTTCTGGGTCTGTTCTCTGCAGGACCGGCCAACCCCATTCTGTTCTCCCTCCCTGCTTCAAGAAGTCCCCTCCAAGAGGCCTGCTCCTTGGGGATGTCCACCGGCCATGCCTGCCTGATGTCCACTACACGGGGAGAAGCCAGGCCTTTAACCACCTCTGCCAGGTGAGACGCGGGTGAGCTGGGAGAGCTCCCTCCAGTGTGCTGATGGTAGGACTTTGAGTGAGGAAGGGAACCATCTGTGGCCGCGCCCAATACGGTAGCCATCAGCCACGTGTGGCTATGGAGCACTTGAATGAAGCTATGGTGGCTGAGGATCTGAATTTTTAATTTCACTTAATTTTAGTTAATTTGGATGACCAGGGTCACCTGTGCTGATGGTGGCCCATAATAGCCAGCACAGTTCTAGGCTATTAAAAGCCTCAGGAAGCTGTAGTGATGGGTACAAAGGCATGTGATGTTTTCTCCAAACAGAAATCTAGTCTTTCTCGGTCTTTTCCACCTTCTCACTTTTTTTTTTAAGTTGCAAATGTACGTAAGAAGGAAATATTATCCCTGTTTCATAAATGGATATCATTGCCAATGGCTATAAAATAGAAGGTAACACACACACACACACACACACACACACACTCACACACACAAGTGTTACTAAATTCCTGCCAGGTACCATTGCCTGCCTCAGTCATGAGAGCATAAGTCTTACTCTCCCCTGGTCAAAAATGGGGGTGACTGTGGGGTGCCATGGCACCAGCCTGTAATCCCAGCCATTTGGGAGGCTGAGGCAGGAGGATGGAGGCCAGCCTGGGCAATTTAGCGAGACCCTGTCTCAGTCGTCTTTCAACCACTGAGTCACATCCCCAATCTGTTTTTTTATTTTTTATTTTGGGACAAGTTTTCAATAAGTTGCTTAAGGCCTCGCTAAATTGCTGAGGCTGACTTTGTACAAGTGATCCTCCTGCCTCAGCCTCCCAGCCCACTGGGATTACAGACGTGTGCCACTGCACCCCGCAGGAAAGGGGAGCCTTTGTTGCTCTCTGTTCTCTGTGCAAATGACATATTTTTCGTGATATTAAATTCTATTTTAAAGTTTTAATTTCTGTGTTTTATTCAAATGCGCTTCTGTGAGATATCGATTGCTGTGGTTATAGCATAAAAGGTACGTGTTTACAGAATGGTGACATGGTGTGGAACACGAGTAGGTTAGTGTGACTCCCACCCTCTGGGGACCCAGACAATCCCTGTGATTTGGAAGGTCCTCATCTGTCAGACTAGAGTGATTTTCAGGGAAATTTGAAAAACTTCCCTTTCCCTAAAGATGGATCTCCATGGTTTCTGAGGGGTCTTTGAACCCCCAAATTCTAGGACTAATAATTGGGGGAAACTTTAAAAAAAGATCAAGAAGCTACTGCAATAAGACACACTACTGATTGATTATCTGGCACTCAGGGCAGCTTGGTGAGCTAGGAACAGCAATTACCTCCATTTCTAGAGGCCCAAGTCACAGAGGGGATCCACCTGTCCATGGTCACACAGAAGTACCTGGTGGGGCCAGGACCGTGCACCTGTGCTCTTAGCTACACTCAATCCCCGTGGCACATAAATGTTATCCAGTTGATCTTGTTTTCAAGGAAAAGCTTAGATCTTTGCTTGGGTTTCCGTCATATCCTTCCATTCACTTTGACTAAAGGCCCAAGGCATCTTCATATCAGTCACCTGCTCGGATTCGTCACAGTTTAAGGGCTGCAGACATCAAGGGGGAGGGAGCCATCATTGTTGTGGCTTAGATATGAGGGGTCCCCCCAAAGCCCATGTGAGACAATGCAAGTATTTTCAGAGGAGAAATGATTAGATTAGGGAAGATGTAACCTGATCAGTGGATTAATCCACTGATGTGGATTAACTGGATGGTAACTATAGGCAGGTAGGGTGGGACTGGAAAAGTAGATCACGGGGTGGGGTGTGACTTTGGGGTTTATATTTTGCCCTTTAATGGGGACGATGGCCAGAGTCTCATTGGGGGGTTCTTCTTCCTTCCCAGGAGCGTGTAAGTGACCTGAAAACTTAAAGTTTCAAATAATTTGTGAAGAATAAAACACAAATAGTCAGAAACATGTTTACAAAAACGAAGCCCCTGATTGATCTTGTCCACATGGGAGCTGGAACCAGACAAGTCAAGATGGCTCTGGTGGTTTATTTAAGGGGGTACATCAAAGGCAGGGATAAAGTTTCAAGGGCTGATGTCTTGCAGTCAGCAGGTTGATTGGCATCTTGGCAGGTCACACCCATCTCAGGTGCTGGGAAGGATCTTTGGCAGAGCTTGAGGGGGAAGTTCAACTGCATACGGCAGTCAATCCCTGTGGGGGTGCCACGGGGAGTTCCCAGTGCCAGCCTTATCCCCTCCCTAGGCTACGATGCACAACACGTCCACTCACAACCCACGGACGGCTCATGACAGCTCTTGGTGAGCGCAGCTCTCTCTGCTTCCTGGTTGCCGTGTCCTGAGCTGCGTTCCTCCTCCATGCCCTTCCACCTTGGTACCTGGTGGGGCCAGGACCGTGCACCTGTGCTCTCACCTCTGTCACAGAGCATCGGAGTCACCGACCATGGGCTGAACCTCTGAAACCTTGAGCCAAAATAAACTTTTCCTCTTCTACATTGTTCTTGTCGGGTCATTTGGTCACAGCAACAAAAAAGCTGACCCAAACCATCACAGTGAGCATGGGTCCAGGTGAAGCAGCAGAAGCTAATGCAAGAGCCGGCCTTGCAGGAAGTCCAGCGTTCAGGAACCAGGAGGGTGAGGCACCACGATCCGCTCTTAGGGAGAGACCTGCAGGAAAAGCGTTTGTGACCCATTGAGGTAGGGCTGGGATACATGTCCCGGGTTCCTCCTCTGCAAAATGAGTTCTGGCACCAGGATTAAATGAGACAATATGATGAAAATATTTTAGACTCTCCGAGAATTACACAGATAGCTGTGGGCTGGTGCTGGAAATGGGTTAAAGATCCCACATGCAAAGACTGGTGTGGCTGGCAACCTGGACCAAACTGGCTGCTGGTACAGGAAATACCACACCTGTGTTTTTCCTCCTCTTTACTGTTCTTTGGCAGTCTGACTGCACAGGGGGCAGTTCAACCTGTGTCTTTGCTGGACTAAGAGAAGTGACGCAGAGCCTGGAGAACAACAAGCTGCCACCCAGATGGTGGCTTCGACCAAGTCCTCTCCCTGGCCTGCAGCACTGATTGATCCCTGGGTACAATATGGCTTCCCTCTGGAGACTTTTTTACCTTTTCGATCTTTGTTGCCAAACTGGCTATTTGTGGGAGGTCACTGCTGTAGATACTGGACCTTAAAGTTATTCGATATCTAGAGTATTAAAACATTTAAAAGTTCTAGCTTTTGTATATGGTTGTCCCTTATTAAAAATGTCTTTTTAGGAACTGGGATTGTGGCTCAGTGGCAGAGTGCTTGCCTAGCATGTGGGAGGCACTGGGTTCCATTCTCAGCACCACATAAAAATGAATAAAGGTCCATCAACAACTAAAAAAAAAATTTTTAATTTCTTTTTAGATTTAAAGAAAATTTTAGATTTATAGAAATCTAATGTAATTTTGGATTTATAGAAAATTTGCAAAGATAGTACCGGGAGTTTTCTTAATTCAGCTTTGCCTGATTGTTATCATTTTTTATTCCTTTTTTTCTCTTTGTAGTACTAGAAATTAAACCCAGGTCAGTTTACCACTGAGCTAACCTCAGCAAACCCCCCACCAACTTTTTTTTTTTTTTGACATAGGGTCTTGCTAAGTTGTCCAGGCTGGCCTAGAACTTGAGATCCTCCTGTTTCATCCTCCTGAGTCACTGGGATTATTAGTGTATGCCACCCCACCTACCATGGGACTTTTGTTATATAACCATGGTACCTTTGTTAAAACTAGGAAATTGATGTTAGTTCAGTGATATTAACTATATTCCAGTTACATTCCACTGATTTCCCACCAATATCATTTTTCTATTCCATGATCCTATTCTGGGTACCATATTGTATGGAAGCTCCTTTTTTATTTTATTATATTCTCATCTTTTATTAGGAAACATTTTCAACATAAAGAAACTTGAACAAAGCAAGACCCTGTCTCAAAATAAAATAAAAAGGGCTCAGTGGTAGAGCATCATGCTGGGTGCCCCAGAAAAAGAAAAAGAAAGAAAGAAAGAATGAGAGAAAGAAAGAAAGAAATTTGAACAGGTAGTACAATGAACATCCATATATCCTGTATCTAGATTCAACAATTAACATTCTGCTGGGTTTTTTTAAACTCATACATATAGCTATGTCAATACAGTTTTTCTCTACTGGAAGATAAGTTGCAGAGTTGGTAGCATCTCCTCCCCCCACCCTCCTTTTCCTTTTTACCTTTTGGTACCACAGTTTGAACTCAGGGGCACTTAATCACTGAACCACATCCCCAGGCTTTTTAATTTTTTTATTTTAAGACAGGTCTTGCTAAGCTGCTTAGGGCCTCACTACATTGCTGAGGCTGGCCTTGAACTCACAATCCTCCTGCCTCAGCCCCCTGAGTTGCTGGGATTACAGGCATGCGCCACCATGTCCAGCTGCATCTCATCTTTAAGTACCTTAGAATACAGTGAAGAGTAAGAACATTCTCCTACATAATTGTGATGCCATTATCCCACTTAAAATTAATAATTCTATAATATCTAATATCTAGTTCTAAGATTTGAATTTCTACAGTTGCCTCAACAATGATTTTATGGAATTTCCCCCCCTAAAACAGGATTTAACTAAGTCTTGTGCATTGTGTTTGGCTTTTGTGTGATTTAATTTCTTTTAATCTGAAACAATCTTCTAACCTCTGTTTAAAATTCTTTCCTCATGGACTGACTTTGAGTTCTAGCCAATTTTCTTGCAGAATATCCTACATCTTGATCTGTCTGATGTTTCCTCAGAGTGTCACCTGATGTCTTCTCTATTTTCTGTATTTTCTGTATCCTGGAAGTTTGGTCTAGAAGCTTGTGACACTCAAGCCTTATATTTTTTTGGCAAGGGTCGTTCAAAGACAGTGTGTCATATCAGGAGGCACGTAACTGCCATCCTGCTGGGAGTGCGCCTATGCGTGGTCACTTGGGTAGGACCCTGCAGGACACGTTTTGTGAAGGCTAGCTTCTTTCTCCATATCATGCACCCCGCCCACACACACTTCCTGCAAAACCAGGGATTGAACCCAGACTGCGCCACCATCGAGCTACATCCCCAGCCTGCCCCCAGCCTTTTTTTTTTTTTAATTTTGAGGCAGGGTCTTGCTAAGTTGCTGATCCTCCTGCCCCAGCCTCCTGAGTAGCTGGGATTACAGGTGCGCACCACTGCGCTTGGAGACTACCTGCTTTTGCTCCCTAGAGGGTTTTTCGATGTTCACTTACACTATTGCAAGAGCCCATCAACGGCTCATTTTTGTCTCTGAGGAGGTCATCGTACGGGTGTGCTCTCTGTCCAGAATGATGGACTTTGGGGGCTGTTTCCACTTTGGGGCTAGAACAAGCTTGCTATGAACTTTCTGGCAAAAGTCTTTTCATGGACTTATATTTTCACTTTTCTTGGATGAATATGGCAGAGTGGAGTTGCTGGTTCACAGGGTAAATGTGCCAAAAAAGAATTGCCCAAGAGATGGCCCCACTTACACAGCTGCCAGCAGTGTCTGAGACTCGAGTTGCTCAGGCCCTCACCACGTCACTGTTGGCTGTGAAACGTTCCTTCTTATTTCTGTTTGCATTTCTCTTACCATGAGTGACATGGAGTACTTCGTTGTTTATCTGCTTAGGGAATGACTTAGCAGAGACTTTCAAAGACACCCCCCATTTTTCCCGTGTATTATTTTCCTACAGATGTCGCAACAAATTACTACAACTTGGCAGCTTAAAGAACAGAAATTGGGCCAGGCATGGTAGTGCACATCTGTAATCCCAGCGGCTCAGGAGGCTGAGGCAAGAGGATCTCAAATTCAAAGCCAGCCTCAGCAAAAAGCGAGGTGCTAAGCAACTGGGCGAGACCCTGTCTCTAAATAAAATACAAAATAGGGCTG